GATTACAACCAGATGGGGGAAAGAGGAGAGGTGAAGGTGGGTGATTATAACTAGATGGGGTAAAGAGGAGAGGGGAAGGTGGGTGATTATAACCAGACGGGGTAAAGAGGAGAGGGGAAGGTGGGTGATTATAATAATGTTGCTCCATTGATTGAAGTTGCTCCCAATGTGTGTGAATTTCTGATTCTGTCTCCCAGGAATACACCCTCCAAAAAAAACCCAACAAAGACACATTCATACACACATTAGGCACACTTAAATAGACCAATAAAAGAGCAGGGAGAGGGGATGTTGGGGAGGTGTTAACTCACCTTTGGAATAGCACCTGGCCAGATACGGATGGAGCCATAGTTTAAGAGGGATCGGACTGTGCGTTCAGGCTCATGCTCTAACTTGTAAGCGACAGCCTGCAGTGCTTTATGCATTGGGGCATTTCCCCCATAGTCCATGCGGTTAACATCGATTCCCTTGCTCAGCAGTAGATCCACCATCCTGTAATTGACTGTGCGACAGGCCATGTGCAGCGCTGACTGCTTCTCTTCATCCAGTGAATCCACACTGGCCCCCTGCTCAATCAGATACTGACAGACACGGAAATATCTGTCAGCATCCTGCTGGCTGTGGGACTGTGCGCACACACAGTGCAGTGGGGTCTGGCCACTGTCATTCATCCTGTTGACCGATGCTCCATGGTGAAGGTACAAGCAGACATGATCCTCCAGAGCGAACCGTGCTGCGATGTGCAGAGCTGTATCGTCCTTGTCCTCTGTCCGACTGTTCACATTACAGCCAAACTTCAACAAAAACTCCGCACATCTGTCAACAACACGCACAGTTACACCCCTACAGCCAATCAGGGCCCAACAATACAACCCCAACACAGGCAATCAGTTCAGTAAACCCAGCCAGGAATGGCATGGCACCAGGTCATAGTCCAACGGGTTCACTTCACCTGATCAAGGAGCAGCGCAATGAAACCTTGTGGTTTCAGACTTGGACTATAACCTGGTGTCATGTGATTTCTGACCTTGTCCACCCCAGTCCAATACTAGCCCCTCGACATCATGGATACCAGCAAACCGAGCAACTCACAGCCAGGTGTTGTTCAAAGGAATTCTCTGCCAGAATGTGAGCTTCAGCAACAAACGATGGGGTTACTGGGGATTGGGGAGGATACGGGGAGGTAGCGGGTGTCCTCCTCCCTGATGCTGCCTCTCCCTCCCCCCCACCTCCCTGCCCACTGGGCAGCTGTGACACCCTCAGGCCAAGCGGCAGACCAAGAGGCCTTTGCGGAGACGGGGCTGGGTATGACCCACTGAGAGGGGGGGGGGGGGGGCGGTGGGGGGGGGATGTGGGGAGAGGGCCCAGCAGGGGGTGGCCAGGGTGGGAGGGCAATGGGATTGTGGTGGTGGGGAATGATGGGTGTGTCAAGGAAAATGGGGGAGGGAGTGGGTCAGGCAGGGGGTTGAGGGAGAGGGGGAGGCTGAGTGAGGTTTAGAGCATCAGAGAGGGGATGGGTCAGTTGGATGAGGGTGGGGGAAAGGGGGTAGGATGGGAGGGAGGTTGAGGAGAGAGAGGATGGGGATAGGGAGGGGAAGGGAGGATATGACAGCAGGAGGGAGGATGGAGGAGAGGGAGAGAGGGAGGATGGGGGGGTAAGGGTAGGGGGAATGGAGGATAAGGGAGATAATTTCCTGCAGGGGAGGGGTCTATGGCCAAGGATACTCTGTGGACAGGGTAGTTTCTATTCGTCCATTTGTTGGTTGATCTGGTGGATTTGTGGGTCCAACGCCAGGAGTTTGATTGGCAGAAAGGACAGCCCTCCACATTTCTAATGATCCCAGGGTCTTTCAGAGAGAATCATCATTGTTCCTGACTGCACCCCCTCCCCCGCGGCCCGCGGCCCCCGCCCCCCCCCCCCGCCGCGGCCAGGCGGAATGGAGGATAACTTGGCACACCCATCATTCCCCACCACCACAATCC